TGCATGTAGGGGGACATGCCCGACCTGCGATTCGCGGTGTCGGTGCCCTCGTTTCATTCCCATGGGAGGAGGGGATCGGGCGCAGAGGAGAGCGCAGCAGCAAGGCGGCTCGGACCACTGCCCGGAGGGGGGAGGAGCGACACCAACACCACCAGAGGGGGCCACCTCCAGCGAGGAGGTCCACGATGCCTCCCCGAGCTGGAGGCTGGGGATGTCTCGAGCGAGAGGGGGGACCACGCCACCAGGGAGACCTCCTTTTCTCCTCGCATTTCCTCGCTCTGGTGGTGTTGGTGTTGCCTTTCCTTGTTCCTACGCAGCAGGAGGCGAAGGGCTCGTGGGCAAGCCGCGCGTGCATCGGTGTGGGAGCCCGTCTGCAGGACCCGGCGGGCAGGGCGATCCAGGTCGATGTGGCCTCGTACAGTCGAGCAGCGTGATGCGAGGAGGAGGAGGGAGGGAGGGAGGGAGGGAGGGAGGGAGGAAGGGAGGGACGGGGAAGGAGGAGGAGGGGGAGGAGGAGGGGGAGGAGGAGGAGGATGAGGAGGAGGAGGAGGCGGAGGAGGAGGAGGGGAAAGCGGAGGGGAAAAGAGGAGGAGGAGGAGGAGGATGAGAGGAGGAGGAGGAGGGAAAGAGGAGGAGGAGGAGGAGAGAGGAGGAGGAGAAGGAGGAGGAGGAGGATGGAGAGGAGAGGAGGAAAGGAGGAGGAAGAGGAGGAGGAGGAGGAGGAGGAGGAGGAGGAGGGGAAAGAGGAGGATGAGGAGGAGGGGACAGAGAAGGAGGAAGGAGAGAGGAGGAGGAGGGAGGAGGAGGAGAGAGGAGGAGGAGGAGGTAGGAGGGGAAAAGGAGGGAGGAGGATGAGGAGGAGGAGGACGAGGTTGTAGGAGGCGGAGGAGGAGGAGGAAGGAGGAGGAGGAGGAGGAGGAGGCGGAGGAGGAGCGGGAGGAGAGGAACAGGAGGAGGAGGGGAATCGGCCAGACGAAAGGGGGGGATTGGAAAAGGGGGGGGGTACGAAATGTGCTGCATGCAGCTGGTTTCGGCCCACCGAGGGGCCTATTCCTCGATACATAGCCGCCTCATGCGCCGGGAGGCGCAAGGAAAATCAGCTACGTGAGCTGATTCTCAAACACCCCCTTTGCTATCCCCCCCTTTCGCCCAGTCCGAGAGGAGGGGGAAGATGAAAATGGTGGGGAGGAGGAGGAGGGGGAGAAGGATGAGGAGGAGGAGGAGGAGGAGGAGGAGGAGGAGGAGGAGGAGGAGGAGGAGGAGGAGGAGGAGGAGGAGGATGTCGAGATGGGTGGATCTTACTTCCTCTCTTACTCACCGCCCACCAAACCACCCCCACTCGACCCCAAGGCCACGACCAGCCCTCCATTTCCGGTTCGGGGGAGGGTGGCGGGGAACACTGGGGAGAACACACATGAAGCCTTTACAGTCGGCCCAGATTAGTAGGTCGACCCTGCCAAATCAAGGGTACCCTTGTGTCCTGTGTCTCGCGACCCACGCCTCCTGCATTCCTGCGGCAAGGTGGCCCTCGGAAGAGTCTTTTGTCCTCCCGCGTGTCTTGTCCAATGAAGGCCGACTGTAACCCCCCCCCAACCCGAACTTCGGGCCTTCGGCTTGGCCTTGGCGTGGCTTGGCAGGCCGCCGCTCACAGCGCAGCCGTGCGCTGCGCGAGAGAAGGTTCGCTGAGCCTCCTGTCCGATGAAGGCCGATTGTAACCCCCCCCGAACCCGAGCTTCGGGCCTTCGGCTTGGCCTTGGCGTGGCTTGGCAGGCGGCCGCTCACAGCGCAGCCGCGCGCTGCGCGAGAGAAGGCACGCCGAGCCGAGGCTCCGCCGCGCGCCCCGCCTCCGCGACGGCCTCCGGGGCCGGCGCGCGCGGGTTCGGTGGGCGCAGGAGGAGGCTGGGCACGTCCTCCTATAGGAGGACTGCTCAAAACTAGTTTCAACAAATAGTATAGGGTCCATTTTTTTTTTTTTTTTTTTTTTTTAAATACTTTTGTACGTGATTTATTGTTGTATGTTTCGATACTTTGAGGATCAAATTTGGATCTTTATCTTTGTTGTAGCTAAAAAATAGTATGGGATTCATTGTCGTATTAATTCATACTTATTGGATCAGTTCTGAGGTATTTTAAACTTGTCGTCCAGAAACCGCCTGTAGCGGGACATGCCCGACCTAAGCGCAGGTTTCGGTTGGATATTTTTTCCTGCAGGCGGACTTTGGAGGGAAACCGACACATAGCCACAACATACACAAAAATTGTCAAACATAGTCGAATCATCATCCCCAGACTATTTTCGGGTCTTCCTCCTGTAGGGGGACAGGCCCCCCCCGATTCAAGCCCAGGACCCGGATAAACCGTTCCAGAGAGTTCCGGAGCGCTCTCGGGCGGTCTGGTGCGCTCTTGGAAAGGCCGCGGCGCCAGATGCAGCCTCCAGAACCGCCGCATCTCAGAGATCCCAGGCTTCTCCCAGGCCGTCTCGGTCCTGGATGCAGAGCGGGGGAGGAGGGAGTTCTGCTCCACCTGCGGCCTCGGTTCCGAAGGAGAACGGGGTGCTGCGGGCATCGGTTGAGCCTTGCCGACCTGCGTCCAAGGCGGGTCGGACAAATCTCTAGCTACTGTTATGTCGGGCGTGTCCACCTACAGAGGGATTTTCGACGAAAAATGAGAAGTACCCCCAAAATACCCCCAAAAGGTCCAAACATACCCAAAAAATAGTCCCCATATTATTTTTTTTTAAAATTTGGTTTTGACTATTCTTGGGGTATTTTTTAAAAATTGTTCGTCGAAAATCCCCCTGTAGGGGGACAGGCCCGATATGAAGCTACTGGTCAGAGGCAGCTGGCCAGGACCTGCTCAGGCGGCCAAGGAGCTTCACGATAGCAGCGCCCCACTGACGCAGGGCAAACCACGAGCAGCAGGGCCAGAGCAGCTCTGCAGCGAGCTGTCCACCCATGGCCAAAAAGCTCCATCTCTACCCTCTCCTCCTCCCTACCCCCCCCTCCTAGTCCTCCTCCTCCTCCTACTGTTCCTCCTCCTCCTCCTACTCCTCCTTCTCCTCTTCCTCCTCCTTCTCCTCCTTCTCCTCCTCCTCCTCCTCCTCCTCCTCCTCCTCCTCCTCCTCCCCCTCCTCGTCCCTACTCCTCCTACTGTTCCTCCTCCTCCTCCTACTCCTCCTTCTCCTCTTCCTCCTTCTCCTCCCTACCCACTACTCCTCCATCTCCTCCTCATCCCTACCCACTACTTCTACCCCTTCTTCGCTCTCCACCTCCCAAATTCCCATCGTTGCTCTCGTATCAGTTGGCTCCTGCACGAGTGCAGCGCAGCAGTGAACTGGCAGCCGTTGTCGGAGGTCTTCGAGGCATCGGTGAAGAATTGGCAAGGCGTGCTTGATTTGTTTTCGGGGATATTTTTTGTCATTTGTGCACCTGAGCTGCGCCAGTGGCCTTCGGTGCGATTTCGGCGCGCCCGATATTCGTTCTCAATCTGATCCAATCCTCAGTCCTCATCCTACCTTCTCATCCCTACTCCCCCTCCTTCTTATCCTTCCTCCTTCCCCACCTCGCCCTCTCTCCACCCTGGTCCATCTCCATTTCCTCCTCTTTCTCCTTTCTCATCCCTTCCTTATCCTCCTCCTCATCATCATCCCTCCTCCTCGTCCTCCTCCTCCTCCTCCTCCTCCACCTCCCACCCTCTTCCTTATTGACCTGTTCCTGTCGCACTCCCAGGCGTGTCCATAGCGCGGGCCAGGCGTTTCGCTTGAGACTCCGTCGGCATTTACGATATTCAAGCCTGACATTTGCAACAGTTTCACGGGTCCCAGGCATCTCTTGTTCGAAATATGATTGTCGGTTTCGCGCGGTGCACATTCGTCTTACCAGGTTGCAACAGTTTCAGGGATGGAGGGCGGATTCCCTTTCAACATGGGGCTCTCGCCTTAGCGCCGCGCACATTCACCTTAAAAAGGTTGCAACAGGTTCATGTCGTGAGGGCGGTTTCTTTTCACCATGTGGTTCCCGACTCAGCGCCGCGCACATTCGTCTCAAGATGTTGTTGCGATTTGATGGATCTGAATGGTCAGTATTTCAGAAGCGGTGTTTCGGCACGGTTCAGGTGAGTCAGGACCTAACGGTCACGTTAATGCGTGGTGTTGTTGTCGCAAGAAAGGCGTTCTGGCACGTTTTCGGATTGTCAGGACGTAGCAGTCACGTTGATCTGCAGCGCTTAAGTCCCAAGAACTGTGTTTCGGCAGGGCTGCGGATTCTCAGACGGTTATCTCCGAATGGACCATTTACCGTAATGAAAACCAATTCTTTTAGGGACCTATGAGGGGGGATTTGGAGGGAAGGTTTACATAGCTCCTCCTCACGTTCTGTTTTCTCTCCTCTCCCCTCTCTACAGATGCACAATCTGAGCACTACTCGCCTCTCTCTCCCGAAGCTGCCCGGAAGATCCCGCACCCCCATCCGCGTATCGTCTTAGACCCAGGGTTGGGCCGAGCTGTTTCTTCACACGGGTTTTTCTTTGCGTTCAGATGTTGTTCGGTCCTTCAACATGGTACTCCCGCTGCAGCTTGGGCCACTTCTGGATCCGAGGCATTGGCCACCGCTGTCGCTCCCCTCATTGCCCCTCCGCCGCGTTCCCCTGGTCCTCCTGCTCCTCCCGCTCCTTCCGCTCCAGCTCCCCCTGCTGCCGCTCGTCTACGTCCTCCTCCTTCCACATCCGCCTCCTTCTCTTCCACCTCCTCCTCCTGCTTACCCGCCACCTCCTCCTCCTATTTACGCTGCTCCGCTGTTCCGACTGAGCATAGCACGATGGGTTGTTTCTCTCGGCGTTCCAGATCGGTTTTGACACGCGTCCGTGGATGGAGACCAAATCGGTGCAATGGGAAGGGATGGCAGGGAGGGATAGGATGTCAGTTGTCGCGCGAGCGAGCCTTGTTCACCTCTCTCCCTTCTCCCCTCTTCCCTCTTCCCTCGCGGCCCGCTGTTGCCTGAGAGGTGGCAAGGGCGCTGGCAAGGCGGAGGAGAAGCGACGCGACAGCAAGGGCAAGAGCCAGGGCAAGGGCAAGGCCGACGGTTCCGAGACGTGTCAGCCACACTTGATCAGAGGGGCCCTGGGGTCCCCCAGGCACCCTCGCATCGAAGAGGAAAGAACGACACAGCGGTCCAGGCAGATTCCTCGGATCGGCGCTGCACCCCCCGGGCGGCGCTGTCGGCGCTGACCCTGGCGCTTGGAGCTTGCCAGAGAGGGGGTCCTGCAACGATCCTAGACATCCGCGCGGACCTCTGACAGCTTGTACCCATTCTGAACTTCTGCTCCGAGCTTCCATTCCGTACTTCCGTTCCGAGCTTCTGTACTTCCGTTCCGAGCTTCCGTTTTGTTTTTATCCTTCGATGCAGTGGGCACGCGCAGCAGTCCATCAGCCGATCATGGTTTGCCGGGGATGCGCTGTGCCTCTCCATGCTGGAGGGGCGCGCAGCGAAAGCTCAGGGGTTCGCGAGCCCCGAATCCATAGAATTCTGTTTCATTTTCTTGCGCTCTCTGGTTTTCTTTGGTTTTCTTTGGTTTTCAATCGAGTCTCTCGGTATCGGATTCTCATTGGAGGGCCGGGAAGGCGACCCTTTCAGGGCAAGAGGGAGAGAGAGCGAGAGGGAGAGAAAGAGAGAGAGTGTATACTACATACATATATATATATATATACCAGTGGAGGACGGAGGATCATGAGAGAGGGGGAGGAGGAGGAGGAAGACCAGTGTAAACCCAATCTTCATCAACGATGTTGGAACAAACCCTCCTTCCAAACTCCCTCTGCATAGGCTCCTACAATTGTTCACCTCGTACTGAGGGAATTGCCTCGTCGGAAGACAACCGTATGAAGATTCTGAAGCATGCTCAATATTGTTCTCAGGAGTTCACGCCATGTATCAACCTGACTGTTGCGTCATGACGAGCCTGAATCGTACCAGAACGCCATTCCAGGGATTTCAACTCTTGGGATCGACGTAATTGTTGCACTCGTATAACCATGAACCTTTTCAAAACGACATATCTATACGCTGGTCATGGGAATCCGTGAAACTCTTACACGTTGTAGAATCGAATGTGCGCGGGGCAAAGGCGAGAGCCACAATGTTGAAAGGAACCGTCCTCAACCCGTGAAATTATTGCACTTATTTAAAACGAAATTGTGCGGCGCTACAGCGAGAGCCACATTTTGAAAACCACCCGCCCTCAATCCGTGAAACTCTTACACTTGTTAAAGCATCGGATGTGCGCGGTGCTAAGGCGAGAGCCACATTTTGAAAAGTAACCGTCCTCATTCCCTGAAATTGCTGCAACCTGTTAAAGCGAATGTGCGCGGCGCTATGGCGAGGGCCACATTTTGCCTCAATCCGTAAACGTTTTGTGATTTTGGTTGACGGAAGTGCGCGGCGCTAAGGCCAGGGCCGCATCTTGAAAACGACCCGCCCTCCATGTGTGAAATTGTTGCCAATCTTTATGCTTCAGGGTCATCAGTGGTGAGAAAGTCTCAGGCGAAACGCCCAGCCCGCGCCTCGGGGTGCGACAGAAGGAAGTTATGTAACCGCTTCGCTCATTCCGCCGACCCTGGAGCGCTCTTTGGGGCCTCTTGGGGGCCTCTTGGGGATCCTTGGCGGCGTCTTGGGGGCCCCTGGGGCCTCTTGGGGGGCTCTTGGGGCCCTCTTTGGGCGGGAGGGGGAGGTAGTCGATTGCGGCTCCCTCCTCGGAGGCCACGATCCTCGGTGTCGAAACATAGCCCTCCCCTAGGGCGTTCTGGGGGGATCGCCCGGGAGTGACCCAGGAGTGGGCTGGGACCTAGCCGGGGTGCTTTTCGTCCGGGGGCCCCCAGGGGCCGCCCCGCGCGCGCGAATTAGAAATATTGTTAACCAGTTGCCGTAGATCTTGGCACGCCTCTGGCTCGTTGGGCCGGCGAATTTTATATGGGAGAATAATGGAGGAGGAGGAGGAGGAGGAGGAGGCCGAGGAAGCGAAGGAAGTTGAGGAGGCGAAGGAAGTGGAGGAGGAGGAGGAGGACGAGGAGGCTAAGGAGGAGAAGGAGGAGGAGGAGGAGGAGGGGCGCTAAGTTAGTTGCACCCCCCCCCCGTGGGGGTGACCGCCCCTGGGGTGGCGGGCTGGGGGGGATGGTGACATCGCGGCGCATCCAACCTGAGTTCCAGCCGCGTCATGGCAAGAGGGACGACGGACGGAGGCAGGGGGGAGGGAGGAGGAGGAGGAGGAGGGAGGAGGTAGGAGGAGGAGGAGGAGGAGGAGGAGGAGGAGGAGGAGGAGGGAGCCGGAGGAGGAGGAGGAGGAGGAGGAGGAGGAGGGGGATGAGAGAGGAGGAGGAGGAGGAGGAGGTGGAGAAGCTGGGAGGAGGAGGAGGAGGAGGAGGAGGAGAGGAGGAGGCAGGAGGAGGAGGAGGAGGACGAGAAGATGGAGGAGGGAAGGAGGGAGGAGGAGAGAGGAGGAGGAGGAGGAGGAGGAAGGAGGAGGAGGAGGAGGAGGAGGAGGAGGAGGAGGAGGAGGAGACAGGAAGAGAAAATCTAGGAGGGGGAGGAGGAGGAGGAGGAGGAGGAGGAGGAGAGGAGGAGGAGAGGAGGAGGAGTGAGGAGATGGGGGAGGACAAGGACGCCCTCGTCCTCGGCTCGGCGGCATCCGTAGGGGTGTGGAGGGGTGGGGGCGGAGGCGCAGCGTGCCCGTGGGAGCGCACGAGGACCAGCATTGGTGAGATTGGGAGG